GGAGGGGAGGGGGGGAAAAGGGGAAGAGGGGAAAGGGGGGAAAAAAAAAAAGGAACCCCCCCCCCCCCCCCCCCCCAGTGTTTTGCCATCGGGTTTGGGTTTTCGTCGCTTGACAACGACGTTGTAAAACAAGCCGCCCCCCCCCGGTGTTTTGCCATCGGGGTTGGGTTTTCGTCGCTTGGCAACGACGTTGTAAAACAAGCGGCCCCCCCCGGTGTTTGTCATCGGGGTTGGGTTTTCGTCGCTTGGCAACGACGTTATTTTGTACAGACAGCACTTCAGACAGCAGTACGCTGTAGTCGACAAACATTCATTTTGGTGAAGTAAGTGCGGGACAAGGGGGGTGATGCCGCCTGCTGTAGTCGAATTGTAGTGTGTGGGCGTGTAGTTCAGTTGTGAGCACGCAAACGTGCTGCAGGGATTGTAGGTGTACCTCCTCGGGCTTGTGTACCCTTTTCTTGCTAATAGTGTGCGTGTTCTTTAGATCTTCTGATGGCTTTAGCATTTTTGTGACCACGGGCCGAGTCTTTGCTAGATTTTGGGATTAGCAACTGACACGAGTTTAATGTGAAGAAAAACAAACAACAAACAAAACAAACAAACGACGTTGTAAAACAAGCCAGTTCACTTCGTGAACTCGGCACCCAGGTTACCGGTTTTTTTTACCTTTGTTTTTTTTTTGGCGGTAACCATAATGGTGGTCGAGTAGATCATGTTGTGCGGGGTGGAGAAACCTCACTCCGCGCAAAGGGGGATGATCGCACCACGTTGTGTTAAATTGGTCAAGCATCCTCAAGGCAGTTACACAGTGCTTATAACTGTCTCTGGAAGTGAACGCACCAGAAAATAAATTAAGTCGTACGCAGCTGTCATCCGTACGCAAGGAAGTAAGCACAAGACGCCGAATACCCTTAGCAGGATGCAGCGCACCCTTCATGCGACTCGCCGAATACCTCACGGTGCTTCGCGCTTGGTGATGTGAGAGCCTGGTCCGGTGAGAACCCGGCGTGCTCCGTCCCGGCTTTGTAGGGATGCGGGGGTCAATGGTCTAACGACTACGGCATGCACGACTATGAGTACAACCCCCCCCCTCCCCTCCCCACTACCGTATATGACACAAGATAACACACCCCCTGGACCGATTTCCAAAGCTCGATTACTCCACGACGAAGAGGATGCACAAACGAAAGATACATTTTCGAAAATTTCTCAACGAGACGATTCCAACGCTGCCGTTTTCGGCGCCGTGACTCTTCCTGCTGTTGAGAAATCGAGCTTAGAAAATCGGCCAAGGGGGTGTGTTATCTTGTGTCATATACGGTATACCCGCTAGAAGTAAATGCAAAGCCAACAACGAACAAATCTGAGTACAGTTGACCAAACTCACGACACAGCGCCAACCATGTGCGGGGGGGATATAGCTCAGTTGGCTAGAGCGTTTGTCTCATAAGCAGAAGGTCGAGAGTTCGAGCCTCTCTATCCCCGCACTTTTTTTTTGCCCCAAGTTCGCCTCGCATCCGTCCTCCGTTCGCAAGGTACGAATGGGTAGTGAATATTTTGAGCGACTGCAGAGGACAATATTGAAAAATAATTCCAATTCATGGTGACGAATCATGCCGCGCAGCAATAGCTAGCAGGGCGTGGCGCGCTCGAGGTCGCTCGGTATTTTTTTTCTGGCATAGTGTCGTATGAAGGGAGAACAAGCCAAAGCGAACAGCTGTCGGTTCTGCCATGTCTAGCGGCTACCTATCTCGCGGTTTTGTTTTTATGACCTTCCAAGAGTGTCCACGATGGGTGACCAACAATACAGCACGTAGTTTGTGTTTGGCCCGCCCCCCCCCCCCCCCCCCCCC